GGGGGGGGGGGGGGGGGAAGTAGCGGGGCCCCGGGGGGGGGACGGGCGCCCCCAGCCCCCCCCGCGGGGTCCGGGCCGGGCTCGGCTCCTGCAGCACCTGCCGGGGAAGGGCGGAGTTAGCGGCTTTGGGGAGGGGGGGGGACACGGGGCAGCGCAGCACAGCTGGGGTGGGGGGGGGGGCGTCCCCTTTTGGGCACAGAAAGGGCGAAAACGGACAAAAACAAAAAGCTGAGCGGTGGCAGCAGGAGAGGGGCGGGACTGAACCCCCCCGCCCCAGGGTTTGGTCCCGGCCGGTGACCGGAGCGTCACAAAGGGACCGGGATGTACCAAGTGTGATTTTGAGGGGGACGTCCATCCTCAGAAACATTATAATAACCGGAGTAACAACCCTATCGTAGTTAAATATAATAATTTTAATAATAATTAATTACAATAAATTTTGGTCATCCGCATCTTAGTGTTCTTTCACCATAATTAACTGCAATAATTAACTTATTACGCTCACAGTCCCGTGTAACAACTCATTATAATACCGAAACTCGTTATAATAATAAAACTCATAATAACTCATCATAATTAATTACAATACCAATAATTAAGGGGGGGGCCACAAGGGGTTCAGCCCCTCCCCCTTCCCTGCCTCAGTTTCCCCAGCGTTAAGGCACAAGAAAAGAAGGGGGGCAAGGAAAGGTGCGAAGGCGGGGACCCCCCCCGGGGGTTTGGGGGTTCCCCCGGGTTCTGGGGGGGCTCCCCATGGTTCTGGGGGGGTTCCCCGTGGTTTGGGGGGGCTCCCCATGGTTTTGGGGGGGCTCCCCATGGTTTTGGGGGGTCCCTCAGCAGCCGAAGAGCGCGCGGTGCGCGGCCACGAGCAACGCCATGAGGAGGCCGTAGAAGAGGGCGAAGAGCAGCCCAGGCAGGCGCTGGGTTCTGGGGGGCTGCCGGGGGCTCCGTCGGGGCCCTGGGGGGAGGCAGGGCAATTAAGAGTCCCGTTAATTAGGGCTGAGGCTGGCGAAGGGGCGGCAGAGCCGCGTTAATTAGGGCTGAGCCTAACGAGGCCAGCCGCGTCCTCACCGGCAGCGCCGCCGTCCGGGGGGGTCTCCGGGGGGGGGTCCTGTGGGGGGGCAGCAGCCAGTGCCCGGCCCTTGTCCCCCGGCCCACCCGCTCCTGATCCCAATCCCATCCCAGCACCCAAATCCAGCCCAGTCCCTGTCCCTGCCTCCATTCCCAATCCCCAGTTCCCATTCCCTATTCCCATTCCCATTCCCCAATTCCCATTCCCAATTCCCAGTCCCCAATCCGGGGGACATCACCTCGGGCCAGGGCTCCTCCTCCAGCTGCTCCGGGTCACTGTCCCCAGCTGTGGGGACACGGGGGGTGACGGGGGGGTCCCCGAAGGTGCCGGGGGGTCCCGGGGGGCTTTGGGGATGCCCCATCCCTCACCTGCCCCGCCGTGTGCCTCCCTGTGCTGCCGGGACGGCTCCGAGGACTCATCCGTGGACTGAAACGGTGCCGAGGGGGGGGTCAGTGGCTTGGGGGACACCCCGAATTGCCCCCCCCCCCGCGACCCCCGAAACTGCCCCCAAATCCCACCTCGTTCCCCGACCAGCGCTTGCTGCCGCTGTCGACGCTGTGGAAGCCGGAGTCCAGCCCCCCCCGCTGCCGGAGGGGACACGGCTCGTCCGGGGGGCTGCGGGGGGCACACAGCGCTCAGAGACCCCCCGAGACACCCCAAAAACAGCGGCGCGCCCCCTCCTCGAGCCCCCCCCCGTTACCATGCGGGCGGAGGATGGGCGGCAGCCTCGGCTTCCAGGTACTTGAAGATGTGGACTTTGCCCTTCAGGCAGACCTGGGGGGGCACGGAGCGCTCAGCCGGGGGTTTTGGGGGGTCGGGGGGACGCCCCGGGGCCCCCCTCACCTGGGCGGGGGGGAACTGCAGGGGGTTGTTGTCCGCCAGCAGCGTCTGCAGGTGCCGGAGCCGCCGGAAGCAGCGCGGGATCGCCAGCACCCGGTTGCAGGAGAAATCCAGCCGGACCAGCGGCAGCTCCGAGAGCTCTGGCGGGGGGGACACGGACACGCTGGATCCACACGGGACCCAGCGGACGCCCCCCCCGCTCCCCAGGACCCTCACCCACCCTCGGGCAGCGCCGCCAGCTGGTTCCGCCGCACGCTGAGGTCCCGCAGCGCCCGCAGCTGCCCCAGCCCCGGCGGCAGCGCCCGCAGCCGGTTGGAGCCCACATCCTGCGGGGCGGAACGGGGCTCAGCGGGGTCGCGGGCGCGGCCCCGCGGGGCTGCGGCCCGGCCCAGGCTCACCAGCTGCCGCAGCGTGCGCAGGGCGCCCAGGTTCGGCGGCAGCGCGGCCAGGCGGTTGTTGCTGGCGTTGAGGACGCGCAGGGGCAGCAGGCACAGGCAGGCGGGCAGCGAGCTCAGCTGGTTGCGGCTGCGGGGCAACACGGCGGCGGGTCACGGCGCGCCGCCGGAGCTCCGCCGCGGCTCCGGCGGGGCCGCAGCGTACCTGAGGTCCAGGTGTGCCAGGGCCTGCAGGTTGGCGATGGCCGGCGGGACGCTGCGCAGGCAGTTGTGGTGCAGGCTCAGCCCCTCCAGCGAGACCAGGCGGCAGGCGGCCTCCGGCACCTCGCCGAAACGGTTCCGGGACAGGTCTGGAGGAACGCGGGGCATGCTCGGGGACAAGAGACCTCCGGGGACAGGGAACCTCAGGGGAGGGGACTGAGGAGGACAGGGGACAAAGGAGCCGCCGGGACAGCGCTGCTGGTGGAGCCCGAGCCGCCCGGCCGAAGCTCGGCGGAGCTGAAGCCGCCCGACCGCCCGGACCGGGCGCTCCGGCTCGCCCCGTCCGCTCCCGGCGCCTCCTCAGCCGCCTCCGGCAGCCCCCGCGGGCCCCGGGACGCGCCGAGGGAGGCGGCGCACCCGCGGCTTCCCCTGCGCGGGGGGAAGCACCCCGAGGGACCCCGGGCTGTGGGGAAGGCTCGGGGGCCCTGCCCCGGCGCCGCGGCCTCACCGGCCTGTGTGGTGTCGCTGAGGTCCCAGCGCCGCGCCGCCGGGAAGGCGCGCAGCCGCCGGCCGGCCAGACTGAGGGTACCGGAGGCCTCTGCTTCTTCCAGGGCGCGCTCAGTGCCGGCTCCTCCGGGCAGGCGGCCCGGCGGCGGCGGCGGCGGCTCAGCCGGGACAGCCCCCAGCGCCCCCGCGGCCATGGCGGCCCCGGAGCTCCGCTCGCCGCGGCCGCCGCTGCCAGACTGAGCCCCGGACGCTTCCGGACCCCGCCACAGGGGCGGGGCCAGAGCGGCAGCCAATCAGAAGTAGGGGCGCGCGGGGAGGCGGCGAATCGGACAGGGCGAGCGGCGGGCTTTGCCAGGAGAAGTGCGGAAGTTTGCTCTTTGATTGATAGATAGGTTGAACCAATCGTCGTCAAGCAACGGGGGGTGCGGTCCAACTGCAGCCAATCACAGCTAAAGATTGCGCCAATCGCGAGCGACAACGGGGAGCTGGTTGCCCGGCAACGGCCGCGAATATTTTGGTGCCGTCAGCCAATGGAAATCGAGGAGGCGGGAGCAGCGCCCGAGATTGACATGTAACCAACCAATCGCGTTTGACGCAAAGCAGGGATAATAAAAACCCCACGCTTGGCCGGGGGCGTGTCGCCTCCACCAATCAGGAGTGATTGACAAGCAGGGAAGCCCAGGAGGCCACGCCCCGGTCCCTTCTTAAAGGAGCCGCACCATTTAAAAAGTGGGGGGGCGGGGGGTGGTCCCATTTTGGGGGGCCGCATTTTGAGGCTCCTATTTTGGGTTCTCCCCTTGAATGCGGCTCTCAGGCCCTCTCCCCCAGAACCTCCAGGCACGCGCTCCATCTGTGCACCCTTTATTTGCGAAGGAGCGGGGGCCGGCGCGGGGCGGGGGGGGGTCTCTCTCCGGGGGTCTCAGGGGGTCCCCCGGCACGGCCTCTTGCTGAGGTTGCCCAGCACCTGCTGCTGCTGCTGCGGGCGGTAGGGCACCACGAAGGCGTCGGGCGGCAGCAGCGCCGCCCCGTCGGCCGCCAGCCGCCCCATCAGGACGTAGCTGGAGCCTGCGAGGGGTTTGGGGAGGGGGCGCGTCAGGGCCGGGAGGGTCGCTCCGGGCCCCGCGGGCGCCCCCCCGGGCACACGCACCTCTCTTGAGCGCCGGGCACAGGCGGCAGGGCAGCTGCAGCCGCAGCGAGGAGCCGGCGGCGGGCGGAGGGGCCCCGAGCGGGCCCCACTTGTAGAGGCCGAGCACGGAGAGCGAGGCCCAGGCCGGCTCCGGCGGCGGGCCCCGCGACAGCGACTTCACCGCGCCGGTCAGCACTGCAGGTACGGCAGCGGGCTCAGAGCCGGGACGGGGGCTCGGGGGGGCCCGGCCGCACGGGCCCTGCCCGGCCCCGGCTGGGGGTCCCGGCCGCAGCTTCCCCTCACGGTTCTGGGTGCTCCTGGCCTCAGTTTCCCCTCACGGATTTGGGCGCTGCCTGCCTCAGTTTCCCCTGTCAGTTCTAGGGGATTCTCCAGACTCCATGCCTCAGTTTCCCCTCACGGATTTGGGCACTGCCTGCCTCAGTTTCCCCTCATGGTTCTGGGGGATTCTCCAGACTCCCTGCCTCAGTTTCCCCTCATGGTTTGGGCACTCCCTGCCTCAGTTTCCTCTCACAGTTTGGGCGCTGCCTGCCTCAGTCTCCCCTCATGGTTCTGGGGGATTCTCCAGACTCCCTGCCTCAGTTTCCCCTCACGGATTTGGGCACTGCCTGCCTCAGTTTCCCCTCACGGATTTGGGCACTGCCTGCCTCAGTTTCCCCTCACGGTTTGGGCACTCCCTGCCTCAGTTTCCCCTCACGGTTCTGGGCACTCCCTGCCTCAGTTTCCCTTCACGGATTTGGGCACTGCCTGCCTCAGTTTCCCCTCATGGTTCTGGGGGATTCTCCAGACTCCCTGCCTCAGTTTCCCCTCACAGTTCGGGCACTCCCTGCCTCAGTTTCCCCTCACGGATTTGGGCGCTCCCTGCCTCAGTTTCCCCTCACGGATTTGGGCACTGCCTGCCTCAGTTTCCCCTCATGGTTCTGGGGGATTCTCCAGACTCCCTGCCTCAGTTTCCCCTCACAGTTCGGGCACTCCCTGCCTCAGTTTCCCCTCACGGATTTGGGCGCTCCCTGCCTCAGTTTCCGCCCGCAGCTTCCCCTCAGGGTTTGGGTACTCCCTGCCTCAGTTTCCCCTCACGGATTTGGGCACTGCCTGCCTCAGTTTCCCCTCACGGTTTGGGCACTCCCTGCCTCAGTTTCCCCTCACGGTTCTGGGCACTCCCTGCCTCAGTTTCCCTTCACGGATTTGGGCACTGCCTGCCTCAGCTTCCCCTCATGGTTCTGGGGGATTCTCCAGACTCCCTGCCTCAGTTTCCCCTCACGGATTTGGGCACTGCCTGCCTCAGTTTCCCCTCACGGTTTGGGCACTCCCTGCCTCAGTTTCCCCTCACGGTTCTGGGCACTCCCTGCCTCAGTTTCCCTTCACGGATTTGGGCACTGCCTGCCTCAGTTTCCCCTCATGGTTCTGGGGGATTCTCCAGACTCCCTGCCTCAGTTTCCCCTCACAGTTCGGGCACTCCCTGCCTCAGTTTCCCCTCACGGATTTGGAGTTTCCCCCCGCAGTTCCCGCACTCCGTGCCTCAGTTTCCCCCCACAGTTCCAGCACTCCCTGCCTCAGTTTCCCCTGTCAGTTCTGGGGGATTCTCCAGACTCCCTGCCTCAGTTTCCCCCCACGGTTCGGGCACTCCCTGCCTCAGTTTCCCTGTCAGTTCTGGGGGATTCTCCAGACTCCCTGCCTCAGTTTCCCCCCACAGTTCCGGCACTCCATGCCTCAGTTTCCCCTCACGGTTCTGGCACTCCCTGCCTCAGTCTGGGCACTCCCTGCCTCAGTTTCCCCCCGCAGTTCCAGCACTCCGTGCCTCAGTTTCCCCCCGCAGTTCCAGCACTCCCTGCCTCAGTTTCCCCCTGCAGTTCCGGCACTCCCTGCCTCAGTTTCCCCCCAAGTCCTTGCAGCACCCCCCTC